AGGGGGCATTCTCCACTATTTTTCTTTTGCTTTTTCTTTCTTAATGAGTAATTTCCTGCGTTCCAAATAGTATTTTAGATCCCTCAGTCCCCATATGTGGTCCCGGGCCGTGCCTTTAAGTGAATGCATGCTGATATTTACTCAATTGTTTACCAACACCTTTTACTTCAAAAACTTTATTTCCTCAACTCTGAAGATCTATGTAAAGTGAGTATTACCAGGTATGCACTTCATACAACATGTACAAAATAACCGAGTAAAGCGGGTTGAATTGACAAAAAAAAACATAACTGAAACAACTCGCAAGGAAGGAGTGAGCATGCAGATCGGAAGAAATGGCCACTCCTGAGATCCAAGTAATATATAGTATAGGAATAATAACAAGATGAAATAACAACACTATCAACAACTAATCATAATCATCTCCACTAGCACGAGAATAGCGTCGCTTTCTGTGATGAGAACGCTTCTCCTTTGTAGACGTGCTTGTTTTCTGTAAAACATAACATCAAACAAAAAAATGTAAATTACACAAACAAAAAATAAATAATCATACCGGTACAGGAGGGACCGATTCGAGGAATTTTGAGCCTCCGACGCGCTCTGGCGGTTTGGGTACTGAAGGTGCTGTGGAGCCTTTTGAGGCCACCGATTCAGAAGATTTGCTTGATTTCGCAACACGGGTTTGTGAATTTGATGCAGTTGGGCCGGCAGCTTGTCGTGACATATTGGTTGGTGGCGATACTTCAGTGGGTAGTTGCGGGTGTGTTGGTGGTGGCGGTATGGGTGGTGGAGGCGGTGGAGGTGGTATGTTGCCTGCAACGCACCACAAAGTTATGAAAGGACAAGTACAAATATTTTTTAACGCGAAGTTATGCACCGACCTAGGAGCGGTGGTTGTTGTGGAGGTGGTGGCACGGGAGTTGCACCAAAGTTTGGAATATTAGACACCGGTGGAGGCGTTGAATATGGAGGAGGCGGCATCGAAAATGGAGAAGACATCGGATACATCCCTAAAATCCCAAATATAAAAAAGGACAATACAGGAAATACCAAAACCAAAACCACTATGACCATACCATATGGAAATGACCAAGGTGGAATAGGAGGAGGTATAGGAGTTCCATAGAAGCCGGTATTACATGGAGGTGGAACAGGAGAGGGAGTGAATCCGTGGAAAATATTGGGCGATGAACTTGGAGCAGGTGATGGAGCAACATTTTCTTGACCACTCTGTGTACGAGATCGAGTGTTGTTCGAAGGAGTATCACTGAAAAGAAAAGCCCGGATAATGCTGTCTATGCAAGTTCCTCCTTAGCCTATGAATATACTTTGGAACAGAAGGCAAACTGAACACCCACCTCCGTGGACAGTCCTTGCCATGTGTGAGGCGAATGAGTCAGCAGCTGAAGTAGCGTACCACTTTCTCTGCTCAAAGTTGTATGGGGCGGGGCTCGAGAGTAGTGATAACCGGTACCGTTTCCCAATCCACCTGCGCTCGGCTCCGTGGAAAAACTCGCATGTGCGCGTAAGCGGCGAGGTTTTTTAACGTCACCGCGACAGCAGCGCGGAGCGAATGGCAATGGCCTGCGCCTCCGCCACTGTGCTCCAATTAGCAGCCGCTTTCATGTGTAAGGAAAAAAAAGGAAAATAGAGAGAGAAAAGAGACAAATAGTGGATGCTTACAGGTGAGTTAGTGGTGGAGGTAAGCGGAGAATACAGAAAAGTAGACTATCAGGGCGAATTACTTCAGTCAATGACGAAACTGGCGAAATAGTCCCTTTCGATTGCGAAAAGATCGCAAACAGCTCTTACGCAAACGTTATAGGGTGAGACGACGAAGGTTTGGCAAATTGTTAACAGGTGGTTGTGACCATATAACGTTACAACGTTTGCGTAAGAGCTGTTTGCGTCGTTTGCAATGGAAGGGACTATTTCGCCAATTTCGCCACTGATTGAAGTAAGTCGCCTCGATAGTCAACTTTTCTGTAAACATCCACTACTTGTTCAATCCTTTTTCTGTATCTTCTTTTCCACTATTTCCTTTCACATGAAAGCGACTGCTGATTGGAGCACAGCGACGGGAGCGTAGGCCATTGTCCCTCGCTCCGCACGCTGAAGCGGTGACGTCAAAAAACCGCGCCGTAGACGCGCACGGGTGAATTTTTCCCTCCTCCGCCTGCGTGCCCACATGGCCAGTTACCTGCATCACCTGTGCTCATCCCAATAATCGAAATGCGCCAGTAACGTTTTGAGCAGGTAACGCCTCCATTCGTCCCTGCAACGTGCAAGAGTTGCCCAATGGACTCTCTCTGCTCGAGGGACACGATGAACTTCATACCATTCGTTCAGAGCTTTCACGAAGAAATCTGACGATAGAGTGGGCGATCGTCCAAATGTCTGTCTGAAATCCCGTGGAATATATTCGGGAATCACTTTGGTTCAGCGGTCATTTTCGAAAAGCTTGACGTGCCCGACCCAGCTGATCATGGAAACCTCGTCAGCGGAGTGCGAGCTCCGGACTCCCTCTCTCTCTTGCGTGTAGCGGAAAACTACGAGCATCGCTCTTTCGAGTGTGATTGAATGAGGCTGACCCCATTTCGTCCTGCTTTTTTTGTGGAGTCCAAGTCTCTAAAACATAAGTAACCTTCGCCTTCTTCGCCACTTCGTTGAGATTCTTGAACATTCCCCGAACGTATCGCCTCTTCTTGTTCAGCTCTGGTCTAACTCAATGTTATCATCTCGATTTCCGGACCCAAGTACACAGAGCCAGAGCATTCGGAAATGCTCGTCCGTTGAGCAAAAATGGGTCATTCGAAGCGAATCTTGTTCTAAGGGTTGGTTCTAATGAACAACGTCTCCATAAGATCCAGCTGCAAGCCGACTTCCCGCATGTACATCAAAATCAACAATTCGTTCTGCTTGTTCGATGTCTGATGTCATTAGCATGATATCGCCAGCAAAAAAGAGATGCTGCAGTCCCGTCCCAACTGAAGAACGATGTTCTCGAGGGCGGCGTTGCAGAATTTGGGCAAGATGGCGTCCCTTTGTCAAATCCCTCTCTTCACGTCGATGATGATTTCCTCGAAAAATGGTGAGACCCTGGTCGTGAAGTTGAAAGCTCACGAAGAAATACTGTATGGAAGTAGGAACACACTGGTTGCCTAGGGCTTCGATAACCGCTTCTGTCTCAACGAAGTCGCATGCTTTCTTCAAGTCAAAGAAGATAAAGGCATCTCGTAGTCTTGCGATACTTTAATAAGCTTCGTTACCGCAAAAATAGGAGTTACCGCGTTGAATCCTCTCCGAAACCCTGCTTGCTCGTGTGGCTGTCCTTCATCTAGCGTTCTGCCAATCCTGTTTAAGGTGACTCGTGTGGAAAGTTTGTAGACTACAGACAACTGATCGGGCCATAATAACCTATGCTTGTACGTCTCGCTTTTTGTACAGCAGCACAGTCCTGCAGGTTTCGGCACGGCCAGCTACACCCCCAACTATAGCTGACCTATGAACGTCAGGAGACGCACCTGGGCATCACTACTCTCCAGCTCCGTTTCCGTGCACTTTTGAGCGGAGATGTGGCCCGCGGCTGCAGCTGCGGATCCATTCACCGCGCACGTAGCTAGGATAATGTTGTGAATCTTCAATTTCCGGTATCTAAATCCAGCAGTTCCCACTACTCAGCCTAATAGCCACACGATAACAAAGCTTACCATATTTGATCGTCGGCCCTTGACAATGGTCGCCTCTCAGCATCATTACCCGGAGCTTTTTGATTACGGAAATAGGCAGGCCTGTAAATCAAAACCATATCTAACTAAGTTCAGGCCGCAACAGAAAAAGAATGTGAACCAATCACTTACAACTCTTCCTCCTCCTCATCGTCCTCACGTGGCGTCCGGCACGTTCCATCCTCGTACTGAGATGGTGATCTCATTGGCGTATAACCACCACGTCCTAAATTTAGTCGCCTTTCAAATACTATAAATTGTTCTTTGCTAACCTATTATAGGAACCACTGTTAAAGACAATGCGACATGGCGAGCTCGCACATTTGAAAGGACGCTGTATCGGTCTGCAAGTATGCCGGTGTGCATGTTTGGTGGTAATTATGTTGAGCCCTCCGCAAAATACTCTGTGGATACTCTAGGTAACATGAAAACTGGAAATGAGCATGCAAAATTGGAAACCAATTGTGTGTTGCATGAATCCAGTTTTGGTTGTTATAACACCTACCAGTCGGCTCGCCGGCTCTGCCTCTGCTGACCTTAATCCACGTTTTTTCCGGTCTTTGAAGTGCTCTGGGACAGTTTTAGAGAATTTTCGTCTGGCTCCGCCCACCTCGGGCTGGCCCCGCCCACAATATGTATACCCCACATTTCTCAATCGGCGACCCCTTGCTGACCTGAATTCACTTTATTCCGGTCTTCGGAGTGCTCTGGAACCGTTTTACAGACCTTTTTG